TGACTTTTTATTTTCATTTACAATGACTTCAACTTTTATGTCAAATCAGAACACAAGGATGGCAGTATTTCTGCCCTTTAGATTCTTCAGCAAACTGTTCTGTTTCTAAAGGACATACAGAAGAATAATGTAAAACCTCAGTTTTAGTCTGTGAGTTGATATATGAGGAACAAGTGCTGTTTAAACACATCATGCTTTTCTCATAAGTGATCCTTTACCATTTCAGCTGAACTTAGTTTGTGTCCTGGGCTTGGTAAGTCTTGGTTTAGGACAGCTTTCATGTATGTATTTATTTATAGGTACTTCCCTAAGTGATGCACAAAGCCAAACCTAGTATTTCTCAAGTTAAATACGCCACAGATGCTTTTATTGTAAAACTGCCTTCAAATGCTGAATTTTGTACCCTTTTTAGAGTAAGATTGGTATACCTTATCTTTCTTTTGGATCAACTTAATCAATGATATAAGACTAACTGCTGTAATGTCATTGGATTTCATATTACATATCTTACATCTTCTTTCTTTTCTTTTTTCCTCATTTTCTTTTGATCTTATGTTATAGTTTTTGTTCCTTTTTTTGTTTTTTTCACTAGCATTCATTCTGTGGCCTTGATGACACAACTGAGCCAAGATGTGTGGTTGGTATTCTTTATATTTCTTCATAGTCAATTTTTAACTCTTAGATTTTGCCATGTTTTGAGAATTGTTTGTAAGACCCTGAAACCATGGGGAAGGGCATACTGGTTTTGCTTGCACAGAGAAGAAGAGTCCTCTATAAAATCCAACTTGGATGATTTCCATCCTAGACTTCTGCAGAAAACCAATGGGTTTTCAATGAGAAATGATTTTGCATTCTAAGATGCTGACTGCTGTAACTGCAGTGGATGCTTTTCATTTCTGCAGCACAGGTACATTTTGTCTCAAAATTCAGGTATTACTGTAGGATCCTTCCTTCTATCACACTGGATGGAGAAGCAGCAAAACATTGGTTTTCAACTTTTTTCCTAAAAAGTCCTCTGAGCATCACTACCCATGGGAAAAAAAAAAAAAAAAAAAACAGAGTTCATTTTAATTCCTCAAGATCCTTCAGGCCATGAAATCACTCAGGAAATAATGACCTATTTTCCCTTTTATGAGGCGATGCAAAGGTTGCAATGTGACTGCCCCCCGTGTGCCAGTGCAACATGGAAGGGGTGAGGGTAAAAAAACCTCTGTGGCTCTCGTTTGTGACACTACCATGGTTCTTGCTGTCCTTTCCACAGTGTCCTGATCCTTTCAGCTCAATGCAAAGGACAGAATGAATTCCTTCAGCTGTAGGAGGAGCCATAGTGGCAGTGCTCACCTTTCACAGAGAACAAGAGGGAAATACAATTTAGAAAATAGGTCCCAGTCCTCTTCCCTGGAGCAATGCAAGTTGCACACTGCCTTTCAGTAAGGATGGTAATTCAACAACCTGTCAGAGGATTAAGCTGTGATTTAAAATTATTGAATATTATACAGTGTTTGTGTTGTTGCTGTTGTTGTTTTTTTGTTTTGTTTTGTTTTTAACTTGATAATATACAATGCTTTTACCTTTACAATTTTTCCAAGTTTTTTCTTCTTTTTAATCTGTTGTGAATTATGCTCATGGAATCTCTTTACATGCATTTAATCAACACCTTTGAAATGGCTATCAAGTACTGTATGATGAAGAAGCATGATGACAATAGTTACTCCAAAAATCTATTACATTTACCTACATTAAGCTTGAAACAGTATTTTCTTCTGCCCAGATCACAAGCACTTTGTCAAAATCAGCACTTTTACAAAATCAGACCTGTATTATCATGGGCCCTTTTGAGGGTTTATTCAGGTCCCAGTACATTCAGTTATCATCTTTCTGTTGATGCTCTTTGGAACTGGCTCTGGACCTTCATTATGTGCGTTGCTGCATATGATTTTTTATTTTTCAATGAAATGGTGATAGAAACAGATGGGTGGAACGTAATTCAAGGGTGCTATTGCTTTGTAACAGGTGCAGTAGCTTTCTTTTGATAGTTAGATGGGTGTTGAAAAGTGGTGGAAATTGAGCAATATTTTTCATCATTTTTAACATTCCTTCTAAAATTTCCCTTGATTTGTCAAAAATTGAGCATGTGCATATAGAGAGGTGTTTGAAGAAAGGTGAAACCTTTTGGTTCACCTTTCCATTGTTTGAGATGAATTTTTTTGTTCTGGGGAGATCAGATAGGACAGATGCTATTTTGGTTCATAGAAGTTTGGAAGAGTAATGTTAAAGGAGTCACCAAACTACTACCTTTGAAGTTCCATCCAGCTTTTTTATACCAGTCCTAGTAAGAGGTGCTACCATCTGGATGACTATATTTGCTTTTAAATATTGTGGAAAGTATACTGGCCAAGTCTAGAGAAACTTTATAAACATTCTATAAATTTAGTGAAATCACAAGCACTTTTTAAATTCCATTTAAAATATTTTGAAATACTGTGCATTCAAGGGGTCTTCCATGCTGATATAACTGATAGTATTATGGGTCCCCTTTGGATTAAAAAAAAAAAAAAAAAAAAAAAAAACCTGAAAAAACGTGCAAGTATTATTAGCCTCCAGAAAATACATTGTGCTGATATAACCTGCTATTTTTCCTGTTAAAAGTATTGAAGTAGTTCAACTCAAGCTTAGTGGCAAGCATTTTGAGGGAATGACACAGGAATAGTGACCACGTAGCCAAATGGCTGCTCTGCTCTTGACGTCTGTAGGAGTGCACATCACACTGCGGTGCTAACGTGGAGGGTGATGTCCTTTAATTCATTGCCAGAGGTGAATCTGCCTCTGATTAATGTAACACAGCAAAGCCAATTTTAAGATACTTAGCTATAGTCATATTCTTGAACTCTGTTAACTATTTCAGGGCAAACCAGGTGATTTACAGATTGTAATTTTGGTTCTGGTTATTTTGAAGGTAATATAAAATGAATTTAAGGTTGGATGCCAACACTTATTTCTAAAGTAGTGTTATTTATCTAAAGCTCAGCAGACTTCTTCTTTTCTTTGTTGTTTTTGTTTTCTGTTTTGGTTTTTGTTTTAATTACAGGCTATTAAAAGAACGTATGGAGTGAACAGCTGAGTCCACTTGCAAAAATACAGAAAATATTTATTAAGCAGCTTTAAATTGGTGCATTTTTTTCATAAAGCAGTTTGCATAGTACTTGAAGCTGCAAAATATTTGAATTTAAAATTAGAGATTTTTTTAAAGATATAGCTTCAAGCTGGAATGATTTCATAATCAAATAAGGACCAGCACACCATAAACACTGAAAAAAAAATCTAAACAGAATTAACACTCTCACACCAACCAAACAGCATAAAACAATACAAGTGCAATTACTGGCTGCTATGTGAACTGTTATCTACCAAATGGTTTTCTTACACTACTGAGATTTCTGTCTCCATTCTGCATGCTTTCAACAAATGTGGTTTGCATTTCACCCAGGAAACACAAGATCTCCTTTTTAATAGCTATATAAAAAAAAGCTAAGTGTTTGACATTAAGTTGTCTATAATAAATAGCTGACAGGAAGCAGACTGTTCGAAGTTGGAAACAAATAAGGATTTACGACCCTGCAGTGGTAAAATTCATATGAAATTCATAAGTTGGAAATCCACAGAGGGAGAAAGGAAGGGTTTTGGCGAAAGGCAAGATGGTAGATTGAACTAAGAGAACTTTAAAGTGGGCAAGAACTGTGTGGGAGACATGATTTTTTGAATGTTTCTTGTAAAGTAAGGCAAACTTGTAAAAACAGCACTGAGAACATGGAAGATTCCAAGGTGGCCTGAGAGGTCAGGAGAAGAGAATGAGTGATGTGCTGTGCTCAGTTATCTCTTCAAGAAACAAGAGGGGCTTGAAGAAATGGACCTGTTGCTGAATGCGATAAAGCAGAGACGTAGTTGAATATAAATATTTGGAAATCGTGGCGTCCTCTGAGGTGAAATAAAAAAATGTTGACATCAGCTACCAGGAAGCAAAAATGGCACAACCTCAACTGGCAGAGGTAGATAAACACTCACAGACATTGACCACCTGAACTGCAAGAAAAATTTGGGGTGAAGTACAGAGACTGAAATAATGAAAGTCGAAAAGAGCTTTTCAAGAGAGGAAATGGTTAGAAAATTAATAAAGATTGCTCTTTCAAAGAAGGAAAAGCAAATTGAAGTTTCAGAACTGGAAAGGCAATATGAAGAAATAGATAATTTTAATTATTTCTGAAATGTTGAGGCAAGCTGAAAATATTAAGAGCACAATATTAGAAGATAACTTTCTCCTTCCTCACATTTTTTTGAAAATCATATTTGTGTAGAAAGCCACAGAGAAACAAGTCTACTCCCATGGACACACTGAACTCCAGCATGAAGGTAGAGTGGAATTAGATGGTTACAATAATACCACACATGAAGTAGAAATTACAATTGACAAAAATAACATAAGGCAATGAACAATTAAGGAAGGACAAAGAAGGCTGACGGAGAATTTTGTCACAGCAACTGATTTTCTCCCTGCTGAAGGTGCAGGAATCAGCCTCAGGAGCATCCAGTTTTCTCGGATAATTATCAGTCTTTGAAGACCAGAGGTGTACCCTCCACAAAGAATCACCAGACAAAAGCGTTTACCTGCAGAAGGTGCTGAGACACTCCTCAAGATTAATTTACTCAAATGCAGCAAACTGTGGCTGATGTGAGGGTCTGAATAAGCCTGTTTCCTGCTGGAAAGCACAATTTACCTTGGAAACAAGGATCATGCGGAAGTCCAGAATCTTGACCTCCAAGAGAATGTGTTGCTTACAATGTGTTTTTCAAAAGTAACAAGCTTTTAGAAAATGTGTTTTCAAATAGAGATTTTTCATGTTTTAGTTAAGGCTTTTAGCAGTGTAATGACAGAATGAAAAAATGAGGTCTTCACTACAAAAGGCAGAATTCTGGCATCACTCAAGAAAAGGACCACAACAGGAGATAACCAGAGCTTGAGATAATCAAACACAGTGATGATGAAGAAACAGAAATTAGAAAGTGTGGTTCACTTGGCAAAGAAACACTCTTCTCATAGGCACAGTTTTGCTCATCACTACTTTGGATATGAAACTATAAGCACAAACATGGGATTGTCAGAGCATGTGGCTGCCACAGTAAGCACACTGCACAGAAGGAGAGGATCTTCTTACAAAACAGAAAAGGTATGAGCAATTTCATTTTCTTATTTTGTTATATGATTAGCTACGTTTTAATTTATATGTGACAGTTTCTTTGACATCAGTTAAAGAATCTGGCTGATTGGGGTGATATTTTCCATTGCATTCATGACTGTTTTTTTCTGTGCTGAACTAGCAGGATTCATAGTTTTGGAAAACAGAGTATATCATTACAGTCTTACTATTCCCTGTATACTGGTATTTATTATAGAGCTGGGAACAGGTACAGGGTGGCCAGGAGTTGGAATAGGCTGTCCAGGGGAAGTGTGGGATCACCATCCCTGGAAGTGTGCCAAAGCATGTGGATGTGGCACTTGGGAACATGGTTTAGTACTGGACTTGGCAGTGCTGGATTAATAGTTGGTCTTGATGCTTTTAGAGGTCTTTTCCAGCCTTAATGTTTCTATAATTCTATTACTCAATCTGTACAAGATGATGGGCCCGATTTTCACTTTCTGTGACACAGCTTTTAAATCATCAATCCCAGCTGCGTAAGTGAAGAAAGAAACTATAGGTTTCTCATTGTTGCTGTCAGTTCTAACAACTTTCCTGTTTTTATGCTGCAGAGCTCAACAGTTTTCAGGGTGAAGCAGCAGAAGCATAGAGCCTAACGTTGTGAGATCAGCTTTAGAAACTGTTGTATTAACTTTCATTATATGAGTGAATAAAAGACCACCTATAAACAAGAACATGTACTAGAAATAGGAGAGTAGAAGTCAGGGTTGTAATGATTTTGCCAGTTTTTTATTCCTGCCTCCATCCTCCCTGCTTTTATCTGCTGGTTACTTTCCACAAAATATACTGCTAAGAATTTTTCTTTTTAAAGCTTATGAGTTGATTGTTAGGCTGGGGCACAGATGAAAATTACATTAATTTGGCTTCCATTGTAAATTGTTAATGAGAAGACTAACAATGTCCACTATTATTATAACTACCTTTTGGTATTATTATAACTACCTTTTGGAGTGCTGTTCAGGGATGACCATTGTCAAATAATGAATACAGACAAAATATTAATGTCTCAGGGAACTCTAAATTGAAGATACCATTCTACTTGGGAAATTATACAGGCCAGGGGAGAGCCATGATTATGTTAGCAGGTCTCTGAGAAGGGACTGGCCTTCATAGGTCTAGAGGTCACAAAGTAGTTTGAACTTTGTTGTCCACATGGATTTATTCTTTGATGTCTTTCCTCACTTGAAGCCTTTAAGCATCATGACTTCACACGGGACCCAAGGAGTAGCTGAATCATTTAAGTTCCAGGTCCTTTTTTGGATAAGGCCAGTGAGTTGATAAAATTGACCAAAATAGGAAAATGTGGTGTAACTGGCCCTATGTGTGGATAGCACATAAGAAAACATGGGGTGATAAGAGAAGAACTGTTTGTTCAGTCTTTTGCACTCATTTTGTGCAGTTTTCTGCTCCTCAATGTCAAAAATGTTACTTGTATCTTCTTCTTTGCACTGTATATTCTGCTTTTATCTACCCCCCCAAAAAAAAAAAATTACTTGCATTATTTCCTGGAGAATAAATCCAAACTCCGTGGTTCAATTCCAATTGCAGGTCCAATTCCAAATCAATACAAATGTAGCAAAATCAAAGGCAATTCACAGATGCCAGTTGGTTGTGGTTTAACCCAGCCGACAAGTAAGGACCATGGAGCCTCTCACTCACTCCCACTGATGGGGAGGAGAAAGAGAAAGAAAAGGTAAACCTCCTGGGTTGAGATATAAACAGTTTCATAATTGAAACAAAATATTGCTATAATAGTATACTAATGTTAATATAAATATGCTAATATAAATACGCTAAAATAGTAGTAGCAGTAGTGATAATGAAAATAATAATAGTAATTGTAAGGAGATGGAGAGAAAGTAACAGGACCCAAGAGAAACAAGTGTGCTGCACTGTACAGTTTCTAAGGTGTGGAATATCCTTTGGACAGTTTGGATCAGCTGTCACAGCCATGATCCCTCGCAGCTTCTTGTGCAGCTCCTCACTGGCAGAGCATGAGACACTGAAAAGTCCTTGATGCAGGGTAAACACTACTCAGCAACAGCCAAAATATCGCTTTGTTATCAACATTATTCTTGTACTAAATCCAAAATACAGCACTATACCAGCTACTAAGAAGAAAATTAACTGTCCCAGCTGAAACCAGGACACAGTTATAAGACTATACTTACTGAAACGAGTTTCTGTAAATAAAGGTGAACTCAGGCTGAAGAATTTTTAGATCTATGGCTAAAAGAGGCAAAAGAAAAGGACCGAACTTAGCTTACCTTCTCAGGCCCAATTTGAACATTCCTTTTAGGCATGGTTTCATAACCTCTCAGAAGTGAAGTAGATGTAAGTAAAATACTGCATGGAGAACTCCAAATACCAGTTAAATGTACTGAACGTTTTCTCTGAAGTAGTCATGGAATGCCTTTTGAATAGGAAATATACCTTTTTAATCTCCTGTCTGGAAACAATAATAATATAAGGCATTTATCCAAAATAAACAGACTCGGTTTTATGAACTTCCTGTTTAGTAAAAAATTATTCTCTTTTCAAAACTTTGATGCCTAATTCCTTTATTAATTAGTCCAACTGAATCTTTTATGGGGGATCTCATAAACAGCAACTCCTTTCATACATGCTAATAGGGCTAATGAAATGAGACTTTCTCGTAAATAATAAATGTGTTCAGAATCAAGAAGGACTGTTCATTTGATCATCAGAGGCTTAGACTCTGTTACTGCATGCTTAGAGTGCAGTATGTTGTGAACCTAATAACTTGGGAGTTTTTTTTTTTCATCATGGATCCTTCGTCTGGAAAAGAGCAAGAATTTTGTTACTCTATTAAAATGCCCAGCAATGAAAGATTTGATATCCTGAATTTCAGTGTTAAAATTGCTACTTCCTGGATTTTCCAGGAATTACTAGATGCAAGCACACCTGAGGGAAAAGTAAACAGTGCTGGAGAAGAGAACCTGAATCTTAGGATAAAGGAGCTGGAAAAGTCAGAGCAAAGCCTGAAAGGTGTTCTAGAGGACTACGTGGAGTCAGATTCTATCCTAAGACATAGGTAAATAAAAGGGGGTTTTGCATTAATATTTATTGTGAGGTAACAAATGTACTCTTCCCTTTTTCCCTAAGTACTGGCTATCAAATGATAATGCAAAACCAGCAAAAACATAGACTTGATGTGATTTTAGAGTGCCTGAGAAGATGCATGTATAAGCGTTTTGTGTAGCTGTCAGAATAGAAGTGCATTATTCATTTTTTTAAGAATTGTTTAAATAAGGTTTTCAGCATGGTCTTAAATGTTGTTACAAATAACCACACACCTTTCTCAGGATACTGCATTCTTAAATATTCATAAGGTGTAAATTCTGTTTGTAAAGTTTATCCCTTTCCTATTAAAATAGGAGTTAATTTGGAATTTTGTGTTTTAAAAAAAGTTCCTTGCTTCAGAAAGCTTCATCTAGTTTAGTATGTTAATGCTAATCATTAAAGTAGATAAAGGGGCCATTACTCATTAATTATACATTTGACTAGGATAATTGGGCTTTGATAGTCAGCAAACACGCTGTTCTAAAGAAAGTCAAAGATTTTAAAAGTAAAAAAAAAAAAAAGAAATGGCATTAAAATAATTATTTGTATAATTTTTAAATTGCTTTGATTCATCAAGGATTTGTCCAGAAATATTTTAATAATGGGCTTTTTTCCTAAAATAATAATGAATCTTTTTTGAAAAACTTTCATAGGAATAATTCTATTGTAGCAAAGGTACTGGGGAGGAGAAGATAGAGACAACTTTATTTCAAACCAAAACAAAGACAGTGTGAGACAACAATTCAAGCAGAGCAAATGAGCAGCTGAAACGTGACTGAAAGCCCATTTTCAGGGACCTTGGGTAACCAGTAGAAAGAAAAGGAATCCTATGCCTGGAGTTCTTGTGGCTGAAGCACAGACAGATGAGATGAGGAATGATGTAGAAGGCAGAAACATTGGAAAGAACAGAAGAGAAGCAGAACTCAGCCAAGGCAGAGTTCTGGGCTGATGTGGCCCTCTTTCCTTTGATACCAGTGTTAGATGATGCAGTGCCTGCAGAGGGGAGGACCTCGTCTGGTTTATTTGAAACACAAATGAGCACTTATTTAATTATGTGTTTTCTGTCTTGATCCTGCTTCTTCAGAAATACTTTTTTTATGTGAGATTTTTGAGTGAAGGTAATGTTGTGGGGATGTAGGTAGCAGGAAATTTTGGCAGGGTGGGGGAAGTAAGTCAAAACTATAAGTTAGAAATGAGCAGGGGAGCTCATTGAAGGTTTGTTGAAGGACTCATTGAAGGACTGTAAAAAGTTGAATGAAGAAATTCAAGGAAGATGTAGCAGGGTCCTGAGAGGCACTGGGGGTAATTATTTGCCTGTCTGAGATGAGAGAAGAGGCAGCTCTAGTACCTGTCTCATGAGATGAAAGACTTCTAAACTTTTCCCTTAACGAGTAAGGGTTATTTTGGAATTCACAGATGTTTAAAGCATTGAGAAAATTTTGATATATAGGCTGAAAAGGGAAGGAAAGTCATAAGGAAAACATGAAGCTTGCTCTCGTAAGATTATTTTAGATTATTCCTCCTATGTAGAGAAACCCTATCATATCACACTATGTCATCTTACACTACCTTTTAAATAGAAACAGGCAAAGCAAAGCCTGTATTTTCTCAAAATCCAGCCTTGTGGACAGTTATAGGTTTCAGTACCCACTGAAGTTATGTTACAAGATGTTATCATTTCAGTCCTTAAAACACAGGTACTTCTAGGTTACCTGTAACATTAATTTTGATGGGAACCATTTACTTCCATCATATAATTTGAACTTGCTAACTGTGAGCCTAGCAAAATCCTCTGATCAGATACATGCAGAGACCGAAGTGTTGTGGTTGCCTTTATGCTAAGTTGTTCATTCATATAGAGTGCCAAGCTTCATTGAACAAAAGTCTTGTAAAGGTGTTTGCTGGGGGTTTTCATATTAAGCCAGCAGAGAGGGACTGAACATAGGTGTTGTCTTTAACAGTTTTGAGACTCTCCAGTGTGTTGTCCAGACCTCAGGCTTGTAAATAATGAAATGTAACTAGTGATCCACAATTTGTTACTATCTTATTTTTGGGAGACAAATGGAAAAATAAAGATAAATGTATGCATTACTGATGACTGCTTATCTATCTGAAAGTGTACTGTGGAATTTACTTAGCAAAAATCTTCATTTTCACCATCACAGGATGAAAGAGCTGGAGCTGTCACACGAAAAACTTCTTGTGATGATTGATCAGCTCAATGAGAAGTTACAAAAGGTTGAAAATGCCAATGTGCGTGTTAAAGGGAAGCTGCGAGACATTCAGGAAGATCTGATCAACTTGGTGAGGAGGATATTGTATCAAATGATCTAGTTTATTTTCTCTTTGTGGTAGTAATTTGTAAGTCAAATCTCATTTCCAGTGACCTCTCTGTTTTTAAACAATAAATTATCTCAGCCTTTCTCTTTTTCTACAAACGTACGAATCAGAAGAACTTCTGGATTTTTTTTCCTCCCCTTTCTATTTCTCTATTGTTTATGACAGCACTGCTAATATTTCTTCCATTCAGGCCCTTGAGCTTTGAAAAATATGCTCACACTTCCTACTTTCTCCTCAGAACCCACTCAGTGTACTCCTTCTCTTTAGGTCAGCCTTTTTCTTTCTAGCCCCATACAACAGGCGTGTTTACGCAGTTTACACAGCTCATTGGATGGATCCATGAAAATGGAGGAAGAATGAAAGTTTTCCAGGGACAGTTTCAGTGAAACAATGTGTTTCAATTCTGTTTATCATAAGATATGCTTTCATTTTCTCAGCATTTTAGGACAAAGTTGAATACTGCCATGGGACCATAGTACTATGTGGCATGACTCTCAAGAATGAAGAATAGTCTTTGTTTTTTTTTAATTAAAAGGGAAATGTTTTATTCAAGGCTAAGGAAGCTTAGACATACATATATTCCTATCAAGAGTTAACCAAAGCATTAGCCCACATCTACCTGACTTTGCATAACATTTCATTTTAGTGTTCCTTCTGACCAGTCCTTGCCAGTGAATGTCTCAGACAGGAAAATACTGAAGATCACATGACTGGTCTGAAGAAGTCCTGGAAGAAATAAAATCATGTGTTCATGTGTCTGTACCTTCAGTCTTGCTGCAATGTCCCTGTGGTACTGGTGGCTCTTCTCTGCCAAAAGCAAGGGCAGAATGGGACTCATGAAATCCTCCTCTGCCTTTCATCTTTCACCTCTGTATGTCTCTGTGTTCAGACACTCTGTGGTGCCAATGAAAATACCAAAGCCTTTCTCAAACTGTTTCAAAAGGCATCTGTTCGTTTCTCCTTTTTCAGCAGGTTCATAAGAGGAGCTGACAGATGACAGGTACAGTGAAGGGCAAAGGACAAAAGCTTAGTCTCTGGGAAGTGTGTGTCCTGTTTTCTAAAACAGAACCACAGTTTCCCTGCCTGTAACACCTCAGTGCTACAGTACTGTCAGCATGAAGGGTCTGTTGTAGATCAGAGCTGAATGTATGAATTCCAGTTGTAAGGTTTATTTTGATTTAATATGTACTGTAGAACATGCAAACAAATGTGGTTTAAAACTTCTTTTACTTTTTGTAGTAGTAGATGTGGGTGAGCTTGTGTTTTTTTTCCTACTGAGGTGTTTCCATGATGGTTGAAATGACAAAACAGGTTAGTTTTGCTCTAAAGACAGGGTCTTACTAGCTTTAGAAAAAATTCTATTTAAGTCATTCCTGAGTTTTCAGAAAATAAGGGCAAAATTATTGCTAAATTAAAATAAATAAGGGAAGAAGACATTTATTATTAATATGTTAACCATACAACTTACTGAAATTATAGGTTGAAAACCAAAAAAAGTCAGAGAAGAAGCAAAAGGAAAAATTGTGTTGTCTTCAGGAGCAGCTGAAGACAAAAGAAGAAGAAATAAAAAGCCAATCAGAATATTTTGAGCACTACAAACAAAGGCAGAGACAACAGACAGCAGTACTGAGAAAGAGAGAATGTTACCTTCAGGGTGAGGTATCTAGGCTGGAAAAGCAAGTCCTAGATCTTAGTGGCCATGTTGCTCTTTTGACATCCAAAATAGAGGAGGGAATGGTGCAGCATCTCCAGCAGGTGCTGGAATCAGCATTCAGTGGGACTCAGGGTTATAAACACCCTGACATGGAAGTAGTGGAATTGAAAACTTGTATTGAAAATATGGAGCATGATGTGAAAAGCCACGCTGAGGCATTTCAGCAAAATCTGAAGTTCCTAAGGGAAAAAGAAGAGGACAACAGAAGAGAACAGGGACTCCTGCTGACTGAACTGCAGTGCTCTCAGGACAATGAAAACTTCCTCAGAACAAAACTGGAAGAATCTCACCATCATGTCTATAGTTTGAAATTATCTGAAATCAAACTACAGGAAAAAATGGAAGAGCTTTTGGATGAAAACAGAGCTTTAAAAGATCAAGGTAGAGTGAAGTTGAAAAAGAAGAAAGAAAAAGACTCACAACTTGCAAGATTGGAGAATGGAGACAACAGTGTTGACCTGCTATGTCAACTGGTAAGTAAAAATAAGGTAAAATATATTTGCTTTTTGTCTTTATATCACCCTGAAGTACACTTGTCATTAGATGTTCAATCAAGATGAAAGTGTGAGGCTTTATCCTTCATGAATTGTTTGTGTTTATTTCTGTTTATTCATTAGTATTTCACACTGTCTCATTCACACCCACTGGAATCAGTAGTTGGAGCTTCATTGCATCAGTGCTTTTATTAGGTGCACATTGAGGGCGCTTAACAAACCCTTTTTCTTTAAGTTTTAAGTGATGTACCCCTGGCAAAAGGTCTCAGTTGGCAACAGAAGTAGAGCCCAGAAGAACTTCTGAGACCTCTGTCTTGTGGATACCATTCAGTGGAGGAGTACACATATGCATTTGTTTTTGCATTTTATTCATGCCCAAATGCTGAAGCAAAAAGCACAGTTGACAATAAATCTTGTTTGTGAGATTTTCTGGATAATGGTAAACAAGGGAAGATGGATACAGTGTTTATGACCGGGAGGGAGCTGAGATATTCAGTGGTTTGCAGCTCTGTAACATTGTGATATGCCCTGAATACACTGAATAGGACTTGTTTGCTTCAAGCACTTCACCCCAGCACTGCATGGGAAAGCTCTGGAAATGCTGTAATATGGCATTGAGCTTCTGCCAATTCATTTTGCTGACAAGGAACAATTCTTTTCATAGAGTGGACTCAAACAAAGTTTTATTCTTAATCCACTGAGTTGGAGGGTATTTTTATTCTGAGAATTTGTTATATTGAATCAGCTAAGCCTCACACTCAGCTTACTTCATTCAGATTGTGACCTGATCCTAAGAACTCTCCTGATTTTAACTGCAGTTAACCAAGAGGTAATGGGCATGAACAAATCCCTTTAGTATAGGAGGACAATTGGATTGTGAGTGCTTCCAGAACAGGGAGAAGCTATAGAGGATCTTTAGTCTGTAAAACTTAGAGGAAATAAAGACAATTTTTTTACCCTGGTAGTTGAATGCGCTTTTGCAGGTATGGTGATTTAGTTGTTCTAAAGCCGCAAAGCAGTGAGCTCCAGGAGATTCCTTTTGTGTGAGAAAGAAAGGGTGGTAAGATCATCCTGCAGTGACAAGCAGCACATGCATGACCTTTGTGGAGAGCTCAGAAGCTGCTCCTCACTGCACCTCTCACTGCAGCTGACTCAAGGTGGCAGAAGACCAATCACCCTGAACCATTGCTTTAGTTACTTTAACTAGTGTATTCAATTTTTCTTGGGAAGGAAGAATACCATTTAAAAATATTTTAAGATACTTCTAGAGGGACTTGCACTGAATTGTAAAAAGGTACAACAAGCAAATGCACTATGAAGGGATTGCACAGCTAAACTCAAGAGGAATGAGGGCTTTCAGAGCCAGAGAAGTAGTGAAGAATTACTATTGGTTTGATAGAACTGAGAAAAGGAGAAAATAAGTGTGGATGTGTTTGAATGCAAATGTGTGAAAGCAAGATATATCAGCTGTAGTCAGAGAGTAATCTGTAGTCTGAGACTAATCTAAAAAGTCTTACAGAAAAAGGGTCAAATCTCTTTCTTTCTGTGCTGTACTCCAGTAAAACGTTATTTTTTTCCTCTACACAAAGTTTTCTAACCATTTCTTCTCTGAGTATTAATTTACATCTGTGTTGTCATAGGAAGTTACAATGTCTCAGTTACCTAGTCTTTGGTATAAATGAATAAATATGCCATAATTTGTGTTTACTGTGGTCTGCTGCAGAGCAGGTAGTGTTCCCTAAATGCTATGTATAGCAGCAGCAGATCTTGTGCCTTCTGCATTTCTAGTGGTCTTTTCCTCCACTTCTAGTGCTACTAATATACTTGGATTTTTCTAGTAGAAAATGGCTTGAGATATAGCAGGGAAAAAAAATTCAGTATCTATGATAAAAGGAGGAGGGAGACATCTGGTGTTTTTCTGTAAAACTGAAGATGGCTTTTTCCCATTATCTGTCATTTTACTAGCACCTAATAAAATAGAATTTCTTAATCTCATCACCTTGATCTTTTAGTATTTAAGTCAAAATAGTTACAAGAAAAATCCTGTTGAGCTTATCATACTCCTTCAACAGTTATAAAAATGAGAAATCTTGTGCAATGCAAGAAAGATTTTCTTAGAAACTGCTAGAAAACTGCTTGTATGACATTGTTCAGGGAATGAGTGAATGGGATCATTTACCTGTTCCACAGCCAGGCAAAAAGTAGTTTGTGAAGACAGGCTTATTGGACTCATGTGAAATACACACCATGTGAGATTTCTCAGTAAATACCATGTCATTCAAATGCCAATCACATCAGTTATTCTTGAAGACTCGCCTTAGGCATTACTGGGTCTTCATTCAATAACACACCATACAGTTCGACTGAGCACCAAGAGGTGAACTGCACCTCATGGAGGGGTTTAGTCACGTAAATCTTGTCAAAAATTTGAATTTCCAAGCTTAGTATCAGAATCCTGTCTACAAAAAAACAAAAAACAAAAACCAAAAAACCCAGCTGGTTCCACCTGGCTGTGTCTTGACTTATCAGACAGTTTTAAATGTGAGCATTAGGGATCTGTTGAAGTGAAGGATAAGTATGAAACACTAAGAAGTGGATCTTCCTACAGCTTTCACATAATTGCTTAGGTCTTGATTTCACAGTGTGATGTTTTGCCATCCAAGCATTGTATCTTTTACATCATTTTGTGTAATTTTCTTTTGACAGTACACACGTATTAATAAAGTACTGATATCTGTGAAGAAATAAAGGGAAACTTCCAGGAAAGGAATGAGTGTGTTTCAGTTAATTGGCATTAGTTTCAAATGGGTTTTCTAGAGACGTTGTGGATGCCCTATCCCTAGGAGTGTTCAAGGCCAGGTTGGATGGGGACTGAGGAACTTGTTCTAGTTGAAAGTGTCCCTGCCCATGACAGAGGTGTTGGAACTAGATGATCGTTAAGGTACCTTTCAACCTAAACCATTTTATGATACAATATTTCTGAGAAAATAAAGGAAGAAATCTTGGAAGTGTTGTGGTTTTCATTTAAATCATGCCTCCCAGTCAAGATCTCATAACAGAGCACAATAATGAGGTAGCTGACTTGGGTTGAAGTAAAAATTATTCTCACTGCTGATCCTGTGGAAAATCAGTGGCCTTTTCTGACTCACTATATAGACTTGGAGGTCATTGCCTTTCCTATCCATATGTAACTTTAAAGCTGCAGCTCAGTCAAAAGGGACCAGACCTGTTTTCTGCTGGTATTTGATGCAGAGCAGTGCAGGAAGACAAAGTGCCTGTGTTGGCTTGGTTTCTGTTCTGTTGCTATTTTGGTTACCATCTTGATTAAGTCTGCTGGGACAATCAAGCCTGAGTCTTCTGTTCACTGACAATGAGCACAGTGCATGTGAAATGGGACTTGTGTATCAAGAAGTAGGAGTATCTGCTTTGCATCAGGAAGTGCAACAATTCCCAAATTCAATCAGGGAGTCAAGATAAATGTCAAGAACAGAACATGAAGTTTACAATTAAATTATCAGTGGGGAAAAAAAAATCTGTTCAGAATGATTATTCCACTTTGAATTCTTCCAGCCTAGGAACATTTGTCTTGTAGCTGGGCACTGAACTATTAGTCTCATTCTCTACTTGATTGGACCTTCTTTTTTCTTTGTTTGTGAGAATATAAATTAGTCACAGTGTTCTACCTGTTGTCTGACATATTACATGCCTACGACTCAGGTTTTCTTCCTTAACTCATTGTAAAGTATGAAGGAAGTAGGGGAAAGTTTACAGCCATGACATTAACTAGAAAATGCTGGAATGAGAAAATTGTCTGAAACAATAGCAATTATAATGAAATAATGGGTCTTTTGAATGTAAAATAGCAAATGAAGCTTATGTGCCTGCTTTTCATATCCCAAACACCATATGTGTATAATCTGGGTGGTTTTTTTCTTGTCCTCCTCATTTTCCCATTAAGAACGGAGATCTAATTCAGGATGAAGTTCAGAATCTTAAATGGAGACCAGTCTTGGATTCACTCAGAAGCAGAGCTACTCAAACTCCAGTTGTGCTGCTACATGCTAGAGAGTCTGGTATGCAAACAAATTGGAGTTTTTGCTTTCATTTATGTGCAATTAAAGTGAAGATGATTTCATTAATGGGGTATGCATGACCTAGAATGTGTAAATAGCTTCCAAAAAGCTCCTAATTTGTAACCTGTGTCTTGGAAGCTCTGACTTTCATAAATTGTATCAGGTGTATTCTTCCAACATAAATTAATGGGAATTTTATAGCAAATTTCAGTGTATGCAAATACAGGCTAACACTGAATAATTTCAGCCTCCAAGTTTAACCCATAAGTTTTCACCTGCCCACTGTAATGAGATGTATTTTTCAATTTTAAATACTTTGAGAACTGGAAAGGGCAATGCCCAGATAGATTTTATTTTAGAGCTCAATATTTATGTTTTCTTGTGAAGTTTGTTTTTTTATTTAATGTTGTTCTTATGTCTGTATCATTGGGGATGTATGCTGCTGGCAAAGAAGGTATCTAAAATATTTCTCTATTCAAAACATCTGCTCAGATGTTTTCAGGTTTGTTTTTTATGCAACTGTCTGGCAGTGACATTACATTTTTCCAGTGCTTTACCATAACAGAAACACCGGGATGTAGTCATGATGGACTAAAGCAGATGGAGGAGCTACCAGAAGAACCTGCACCAGTCTGTGAAGGCAAATCCAGTGTCTTTGTGAAATTTGCTAGTCTAGCTGAGGCTGAGCAGGTGAGAAAAAGAGAAATTTGAGATAGAATGAAGAGCTGGTGCATTTAAAGGTGAAGTAGCTTTACCCCATAGCTACTACAGATGCTATACAAGATGAATACAGGTGTGCACTAAGAAAATGATTGACTTACTTATACCTTGTTTGTATCATTGCTCTCATTGGAAATCTTTAAAAAATTTAAAAACTTTTTGCATGGAAATATTTTTTTCTCATCTGTCTGTAATCAAGTATTTTATGGATGAAGTAAAGAATAAATTATGATTAGCAATATACCTTAGCCTATATATTTCAGCTTGAAACATTTCTCATTTGCTATCACCAGGTCACCCTTGGAACAGAGAAGGCAGGAACTCTAGAAAATAGTTTCACTTTGTTTGGGTGTACCCCAATTTGTCATGCAGCAGAACTACTTTCTCCTTACTCTGAGAAATTATCTGATGGTGAGACAACTAAGAAAACCCAAGGTGAAGAGACCATTTTTCTCTTGAAGGAACAAGCTGTAATTCTACCAGCAAAGACATTCCCTGCTTCTGTGGTTGAAGCCTTGATGAGGAAGAAGCTCCAGCTTACTTTGTTCAAACCTGAAAGCTGCCACACATCAGCTGTCACCACTGTGAAAAAAGTGAGAAGTGTGAGTTTCTGTGAGGCAAACACTAATCTTTGGTCTTCTGGCTTCTGCATTGTTGTAGAAGGGGGATTTTATGACAAAGTTCCTGCCCTTCTTCATGGAACGTTGCCTTCCACTTTGACTGAAATTTTCACGTCATGTCTAGAAAAATACATGGAAAAACATTGGGAAAACAAGCAAATTCTGCCAAAAAGCCTAAGTGAAAGTAGATGTCTGGATAAAGTTGTTGATGATGAAAAGTATCACCAAAAAATCTCTAGAGAGAGAGCTAAAGGAGAAGAAATACAGACTGAGGAAACCCAGCCACAACTGGTGACCTCTGTTCTTGAGGAACGTTCTAAATTTTTATATAACATTGAGTTCATCAGACCTGAGAAGCAAGGAATGGAAGCCAAAGAGAGACTAGGTAGCACACAGGATGTCAAAAGTTTTTCTCTTGATTTTAAAGACTTAAAGAAATGTTTTGAAGGGAGTCCTGAACTAATGGAGAAAGAAGAAAACTTCTCAGAGAACTGCATCTCTGATATGAATAGGAGATACAATGGAGAAGACACAGTTGACATGGAAGACAAAGGAGAACAGGCTCAGAAACCATCTCACCAAACAAACCCTTCCAGCAATATTGGCATGAAAGAAAAGAAAGACCAGACCTTGGAACTATATGAACCAAATGAGAAGAATTTCTCATGTGAAAAAATAGGAGCTGAAAATGTGCAATATGCATACTCTCAGAATTTTTTTTGGTCAGATGAAGAGAAGTGTCCACTAAAATTACTGTTTCCTATGAAGGAGAGGGTTATGTGTGTAAGCAAACTATTCCTCCCAGGAAGTAGTTTTTATGAGTGCTTCTGTCATCTGTCACCACTTGAAACCTGTAATGAATGTAATGTGAAAATATCTGTACTGGAAAAAGCAGTGGCTGTGTGTTCTCAGAGGATATTTCTATTCATGCAAGAGAATGAAAATTACTCCAAAAAAGTCTGTATATTAAAACAGGAGAATGAGAGATATGCTCAGATGATGTGTGCCCTGGAAGAGGAGATGGATGCGTATTTTCAGTACATTTTAGCAGTAGATGAAGCTAAAGTTGTTTCATTCCAAAACTTACTTAATGAGAAAGAGGTTTCTGGTGGATGTTATAATAAATTATCAGAAGAAAACACCATGACCCCAGGAACATTTTTAGTTGAAACTTTCTCTAAGAACCTCCCATGCATTGAAGAGAAAAATAGGAATTCTGAAAAAGACTGGTCTACAATTGCATCAAATAAACTTTCCAGGAGTGCTCTATCCACGAAGGGAAGGAAAATGAGGTATTTCCAGCTACTTTCTGACCTGAAAGAAGAAAGAAGTAGATGCTTCAAAGAAATAGCTAAATTATTACAAGACAAGGAGAACTATGTAGCAAAATATAATGAATTAATACAGGAGAGAGAGGAAAATTTACAAAGAATAACTCTTTCAGAGGGTGAAAAAAAAACATTGTTGGGACATTTAGCAGAGATAAAGTGTGAGCAAGACAAATATAAGACCTTGGTTTCAGAACTCCAAGATTGCAAAACCAGCTGTTATCAAAAAATTTCTAATTTACAGGAGGAAAAATATGTACTGAAAAGAGAGATAGACAGAATCAAAAAAGAAACTTCAGAACAGCTCAGTGAGTTTCAGAAAGCAAATGCAAACTTTATTTTAGAAAATAAAAAATTGAAGGAATTAGTGTCTTCTTTGGGTTTCTCCTATGAAGAGCTGAGAAAAGAGAAAAGTTTAGGAACAGAGAAAAAGATAGTAATACTAAAAGAAGAAAGTCTGCAATATGCTCTTAAGCCAAAGAAAGTTGAAACAGTGTGTAGTGCAACGCAAACTGACGAAAAAGGAGTTCTGGTTATAAGTCCTTCAAGCTATTTCCCTGGGAAAGAGGTAAATAATAACAGTAAGGAGTGTTATCAAGCAGTATCTTCTAAAGAAAGACAGAGTATAAAAGTCATTTGGAGGACAAAGCTGAATTAACTTTTTAATGCAGAAAATGTCCTAGCCTCCCACATGCTGGAGAGGTGCTAGAGTTAACTCTGGCAAAATGCCAGAGAATTTTTTTCTGAATATTGTGTTAGAGGATTTTAAAGTGATACAGCAAACTACAAAGTTAAAAATAATGCTCAGAAGAATGCATTATTACTGCATTTTAAAAATTTTTTATCTTATTGTAAGAGTAAAAGCTTTTATGAGAAGCTTTTTCTTCTAACCAGTTCTCCTACCAGAAGAGGAAAACTTCTGTTGTAATGGTGAAAAAATCATGTCTTAATGAAAAGTGTGCATATATTCATTTACTAACTTGTATTCTAATAGGGTCTAATTTTTTTATTGTTTTGATGCTTATGAAACACAGACCTAACGACAGCATTTTTACTCATGGTGGATTTCTCATCCATGTTTTTCTTATGTAGTCATGTATCTTACACCACAGTGAAATTCTGTGGGGATTACTATGCTCTTGTAAATGCAGAGTTATTACTTCAGTTGAGAATAAACAACAGGCAAATATCTTGATTTTATGCAAATATTTTTCTTAATTTAGGAGGAAACCATCTGTTGCTGCACAAACATCTGTGTGCCATTTTGTACGGGAGAGAGAAGTCACATCTTTCTGTTGTCTTTCCAGGGTAGCGCATTTGAAAGCTACAGCACGATGAAAGAGCAGGTTGAAAAGGCAAAAGAAGAATTAAAGATACAGCAAAAGGAATTAGAAAAATCAAAAAAAGAGGTAACATTCTACTCTACTGTACTTCTGAGGAGCAAATTTGTTTTCCCTCATGTTTTCTTTCACGGCTGTTTTTCTTTCTTTTACAAAACAGAGAAGTCTCTGATCTGCAGAACCAAAATGTGCTTCTTTGATCTTTAAGAGATGAACTGCACAGCCACTCTTGGTTGTCCAGAACGTTCAAGTGAAGCTGCATTCCTGCAGCTCACTTTGACAGAAGCTGAGTGCTTAATAAAGGCATACAGAACAAACTGCCTGTTGTTCCCATGTCTGGGCAGGCTGCTTCCTGCCCCATCACTGGGAATATGGAGGAGCAGAAACCAGTAGAAGCACTGAAGATTACTGCAAACCTGAATTCAAAGTAGTTTTTTTGAATGAGAAGCAAAATCATGTAAAATTTGACACTGTCAAGGGGTTTTGCTACTTCCAGTGGCGTTTCAAAGCATTTACGCTGCTCCTTCTCTTGACAGCTCCGTAGTTAACACTGAGTCCGACACCACCTACATGGAGACCTGTTTGGATGCTTTGAACTTGAAGGAATAAACTTTTTTTTTATTTATTTTGTAAAATCTGATTAACTTGGGTCCTTCTAATCCTTTTGTGTATCCCTTATTATAAGGAAATTGTGTGTTACAGGACTTTCCTCAGTTTAGTTAAAATAACATGACGTCTTTGCTTTCAGAAGGGGGAAGAAATGATCTATCATACAAGGGAAAGAGCTTGTTGTCAGGAATCCAGCTGAGCTACTGAGGTGTTTGTTTGTGGTTTTTCGTTTGGGTTGGTTTGTTTTTTTTCAGAACTTAGTTAATGTGTACAGGTTGAATAAAAGCACCCTAGAGAAAATTAAAAGGTGATGATATGGAGGGCTTTTTCTTTCCTTCTTCGCATTTTTAATTTTTGACATTTTTGTCTTGATTCTCATGCTGAAACAAAATCTCAGCATTATGCCATCTCCTAAGGAGAAAATTAACTCTGTCCCAGCTGAAACCAGGACACATTTCTCAGGAAGACTTTTTCCACCTCAGATGATAAAACCTTATTTTCATTTTTCTCTGAGAGCTTTCAAAGATGTAATCTCTGAAATCATGTGTGCATACAGCACTGCTTCTTTTACCTTTATTCAGGATACTCAGAAAATTATTCAGAAAATTATTATTTTGTGCATAGCTCAATTGAGATATGATTCTATAGGATTTACTTCTAGAATCATATTAATTTATTATAAGATTGTAGTGTATTGTATAGTTCCATTTGTTTTAATCAATTTATAACAATTCAAACCCTATGTTGGGGAGATCAGCCTCAAATCCATGGCTGTAAGCTGGTATTGAAAAATGATACTGCTGCTGGACTAATTATACTCAGTAATTTTTTTACTTTTTTATTCTTCCTGTTAGGCTCAGAAGTGGTACAGGGAACTTGGTTTTGCTGAAACAAGGTATGAAGAAATCAAGACTCGTTTGACGCAGGTTCTCGCAGAATTAGATCTCCTTAAACAAGAAGCTGGGGACAAAATGCTGGGAAAGCAGCACTGCACATTAAAGGTATGTAGGCAAATGGAATGGAGAAAAGCATATTCCTTGGGAGAAACACCCATTATTGTTGTTGGGAGTAGACTGGAAGCAAGTGTAGAGCCCCTGGAGCCATTGGAGCAATAAATTTGAAAGTGAGCAGATATAATACAAGGTAGACCATCTGCCTGCAGGGTAGTCCACAGTCTGGGCTCTGCATGAGCATTATAAGCACCTCACTTTTTTTTAAGGAGCACTCTTGATCTGCCGTCTTTAGCTAAAGTCATTTTCAGGTGACCTTAACAAGAGATGTTGGAGGAGTCTCCAAGGTTTCCAGTATTTGAATTTGGTGCCCTGATTTCAGGCCTTCTAGCCCTGATTGTTAGATTTGGACAGGCAAAATGAATCTGTGATGCCAGGCGCTTTGTCGAGCAACTTCCACTGCCAGTGAACAGATGGTGTGGATTAATGGGGAGTCAAAGTCTTTAATAGATGCATGTGGCCCAAGTATGTATCCCCAAAATCCGGGAAATCTTTGTCACATGGAGGAAAACCTCATTGGAATGTGCTTATATCACAGAAATTCTGGTTTTCTGTAGATGAAAGCTTTTTAAATTTTCAGGTGGTTCTCTGTCTTGATATGGATTTATGTTCTCCACCAGAATAAAGTGTTTTATGGAAAGATTTTTAATTACTGAGTAATCTTCTGGAAGCAGCTTTCATAAAGACTTTTCAGCTAACCCTGAAGTTATTTCTGTCCTCCTTAACTGGAAAGCTGTGAAAAAGAAATACGCAACTTCTACCAGCTGGAAAAGCACATTTCTAGCAACCTACAATATTTGCAAATTATGTTTGAATAGGTTAGATAGAGATGGCTTTGGAAGCAAACAAAAACAAATTCTGGAAAATGTAAAGATTCTGGAATTGGTTTAGTTGCCTAAATGTCACTGCTTATCCCACTTAAAGACCTCAGGTCATCCTGGCTGAGGTTGTAGTTGTCCTCCTGGAAGTCCTATGCAGTTATTTCATGTTAGCTTGTACACCCTATGTGGCACTAGGAGCTGATGTTTAAACAGCTGAATTTTGACTGTTAATTGAAAAGGAAACACAGATTTTTCATATCATTGTGATGTATTGTCATGTAGCATCTTAAAACAACAGAATCCATTTCAAGCAAGAAGAAACTCCCAAATTGTTTAAAAATAAAAAGAAATGTATCATGATGTTTTGTTTAAACTAGCAATTAAGATTTTGGGGGCATTTTTGGCCAATGGAGCTTTAGTAATTTTGTTTGGTGAAGTCTGGAGAAACTATCATTTATTCTATTGGTCAATGAAGTAAGATGTTAGTTATTTCTATGACTAATCTGGGAATAAAATTCAATACCCTTGACAGATTGTTTTTATACTGGAAAAAGTGCAGGACAGCCTTTCTCTAAAAAAATGCCACTTTTAAACACCTCAAATAAAGTTTTCAAGTGTTTATTGATCAGAAGTATATATTTATGCAATATTTTGATGTTTGATTTAGAATTGACTTCTTCTAAGGATTAATTTCAAGTTTTTGAATACATATGTCTCATTCCAGGGTCAAAGATTCAGTACATGTACATCACAGAACTGGATTTATCCCTCAGTTGCTCTATTTGATGGCAGAACTAATTAATTATCTGCATGACTCAAATCCATTATTTCTTAACCAAAGGATATTGATTTTATTGGCACAATTTAGCAAATAGTACAATAGAAAACAGAGTAGATATATTTTAGCAAAGGTTGTGACTTTATTTCAATAATTCTCTTTTAAAATAAACTTTTTAGTATACACCAAGGTGTTGATTGGGGGTTTCTGAAATTGTTAAAATATGACCTAAGTTTTTTTAGATTAAAAAAATAAAAAAGGCCGAGACTTTTTGGCACAAAAATAAAAAGGTCATGATCTACTTTTCTAGCATAATTATGCTAGAAATTATTTCCTGGGGGCAGTTTCATGGACTGGTAATCCTGTTTTTTGTTTTCTATTACTTACCACCCTTTTTTTTCCATAAATCATTTTCAGTTAGGGAATGTTTCTATTTTGTATTTAACATACTTTTGGTGTGGGAAAGAAGATGAGGTAAATACCATGTCACGGGCTCATTTTCGGGCTTTTGTCACTGCAGCCCTGCTCTAATCCGTCTTGATGTGTCCAGCAGTTCCTATTGTTCTCTTGACGCAAGAGGGAGCCAAAAAGTTTGGTACAAAGCATGCTCGACCTGCTGGAATGCCGTGCGTAGAGGACTTGCTTCATTAGGAAGGACAGTATGAAAATGCCATGTTTCTGTTTCTCTCTGTGTTTACAGTGACATGTTGAAGGCAGAGGGATGTGGTCTATCACTTCAGTTTGCTGTTCCCTGTGAAACTGTGCCTTCAGTGTGTTACAGTCACCAAGGGTGTCAAAGCTGGAAAGGCTGTGAGGAAGCCAGGGAAAATTTAACTGTGGTGGTGTGAATCAGGGCTGAGTATTAGCTACTCTCTCGGTTGTATCAATGTTTGTAACCGTTAAAATCAAACCATCTTCCTGCAGGTTTCTTCAGAAAGTTATATGGTTTTACCCCAGTGTATCATGAGCCTGACTGGAATTTTTAGCTTAATCGTATCGACTTTCTTATATACTGTATTATCGAAATCTTGACCAGTTGTGTGTATTAACTCAGTATTTTCTTTAATATAAGGTCACAGTAGCATAAATGTTTGTCAGGAGACTTTCTTCGCTAGCTGATTTTCCTCGTTCTAAATCTATATGTTCTAAATCTCTGGCAGTATCACTTCCAGAAGCTGACCTTATGATACTGTTATAAGTAAAATGAAACTGAGTTGAAAAATAGGAATAAAAATTTATTAGAAGATTTATAGGAAAGCAAATAAGCAAAATAGCATGCTGGGCTGCCGGGGAGTCCCCTGCTCCACTCACGGCACGCAAGCGCAGTGAACAAAAACAGTAACTTTTATTTCCTTATCGGTTTCCCTCCCATTGTCACTTGTTTTTTTATTGGATCTGAGCTTTGCAGGTCTGATTCTGGTTGGCTTCTCTGCATTCTCGCTTCAGTTGCCAGGTGTTTTCTCCTCCCATAGTTTCACTCAGTCCTTAGACCTTGAGGCCTAGTGTGCAGGCATCTCCAGATGTCCATCTTGCATATTCTGTATCGTTTCAGTTCCTGACTTTTCAATCCTTGTCCTTTCTTTCGTTACTTTATGCGTGCTGTGAGACAATAAGCTTTTTAGAAAAATAAGATACAATAATATTTACTTAACAAGGCATAATGGTTTGTCTTTCTAGCTTTAGAACTGCAAACTTTATGTTTTTCAGCTTGCAATGCTGTTAGATTAATGAATCATTCTACAACTTACAGTTTCTTACCCGTAACAGAACAGTGATTATAATGACATATATATATAAGAATATAACATGCACTACAATTTAATGAGTAAACTACTATTATTACTAATTTGATGAGTAAATTTAGCTACTATTACTTATTACGATACTGACCATCAACCTAAAGCTCTCACTAATCCTTTCAGTCTAAATGCATGAAATTGGGCAGAAAAAGAATTGGAGGGTGGGGGAGGAGAAGTTAAATTCAGAAGGTTCTCTTTCCACTGTTATTACATTTTAATGTAACAAATATTTTGTCCTAAAGTATTTTGGAAATTTGTTCTTAAAATCTAATTAGTTTTACTAATAATCTCCCAGAACAAAGATATATTTGTCAGAGTGGAATTTTCTGAGATAAATATATGTAGAAAAACAAGGGGTGTATTATGTAGCTTTTTGTTGGAGCAGGAGACTGGTAACTTTTGAGTTCTCTTCTTACTAATTGTGTGACAATAGATTGGTCAGTTAATCTGTCTGTGCCCCAGTTTCCCCATATATTATATTATTATAATACAATACTGACCTTGAAGGAGCATTGTGAAATCCCAATCCAACATCTACCCTCACAGGGGCCAAGTACTCATTGCTTATAAAGAGTTTTAAGATTAGTGCAAGATATTAGGGCTCATACATTTTTGAAGGTTCGAAATCAGACAATTTTGTCAGCTTTCTTGTTTTTGAGGTGCAAGGTAGGTACATATATTGATTGAGAAGTTTTATACTCTAAAACAGGATTGAGAATATTTTCTTTATTTTATACATCTAATTTGAAAATCTATGTATTTTCTCTCTAGCCTGTATACAGTGTGAAAGATTCCCAGGAAAAGGAGGTGAATAAAATAGCCAATATGAGATTACAGCAGCAAGTGCTGACCTTGAAAGCTCAGCTCAGGGACCAGGCTGCATTAGAAAATCAGTTTTACGACCTGCAGAACGAAGTGGAACTCCTTAAGGCTCAGCTATGTGAAAAGGTATCAGAGAGTTGTTTTCTGTATGCTTAACTGTGAGTTTAGACTTCAGATTCCACCTCTTTCTTTTCAAAGGCGACAGTCAAAATAGTCTTCTGTTCTGGGAATGAGTCTGAGGATAATTAAATGGTTTCCAGGCATATGAAAGAATCCCTTACTTCAGAAAAAAAAGGAAAAGATGTAAATTGCCTGGGTGGTCAATGTTATGGAAAGATGATAGACTATCATAAAAATTCAGTCTCTGCTCTAATCCCCCTAATGTAATGCAAACAGTGATGCTGAAATTATTTGCAGAGCTACTTTCTTGGCTTAAATTGTGAGGACTTTTAACATTCCCAAGTCTCTTCTTGCACTATATCAGATTCTGAAACAGTGAGCTAGTAATAGAATTGTGATAGAGTTTTCCCTAACTTTTTTTTGATCCAGCTAGGGTTACATATTAAGAGTTTCATTAACATTTTCAATTAGGTGTATGATTGGATTTTTGGTAATTGATATAGTTATTCTGATGAGCAACCCCATGTATACACAATTATACTTACCCAAGCAGTTTTTACACTTTTGCATTATATTCACCTGGCAAAACAGAGCAGGTACATTAACATTTGCAAAGCAACTGCCTTACTATGTGAACCCAAAGCTACTGCTGTAGCTGACTACAGCTACTGAACTTCTGGGTGAAAACAAATTCCTGCTAGGACTTTTTGTTCCCTTAGGTTTCCTTTCGTATTTTCTTGGAAACTATATTTTGAAAAGGGATGATAGTTACTATGTGAGCCAAAGTGGAATTGCCCATCATACTCTGCAACAGCTCATAAATGGCATTTTCTCAATAGTGTTCTTTGTTCTTCCTACCCTGATGCTTCTCCTCCGTATGTACTCTGAAATACAAGAGATTATTGTCTTCTCCCTAGGGGGAACAAGTTTCATCCTACTTTCTCCACAGTAAATCCAACTGTTCTACAATTTTGTGTTTTGTTTTGTTATTTTTTTGTTTGTTTGCTGGTGCTTTGTTCGTTTTGGTTGGTTTTGTTTTGTTTTTCCTAGCCTGGTCACGTGCTGTGATTTGCTTTAAACCAGCCCTGTGCAGAGGGTTAGTGGCTTCCCTCAGGCATTGATTAGGATGCCTCTCAGAAGAACAGTGGTGGTAAAATGAAATTGGTTTGTTGTGTTTGATGTCCGTAGTGATGGATGATGGCGTGTCAGATGATAGGTTAGTAGAAGGTGAGATGTACTGTCTGTATAAATGGACAAGTCCTAATTGTTCTCTTGCATCAGCAAAAAGTGTTGCTCCCCGCCTCATCAAGAATTGAATGTCTCCAGTGCAGGGACCAATTGCCATTTCTTTTATTCCCCCAGTGCTAATGCAACATAGACGTGTCTCTCCTGTTCTGCCTACTCTGATTCTTCCCAATCCACAGTTTATTAGCTGAGAACCATGTGATCTCTTTCAGCATAACTGAGTTCTCATAAAGGAGTTTTTTTATGACGCACATAATATATTTAATGTAGACGTTACAGAAATACAAATTGTCAGGCAAAATGAATGCAAAGTAATCTGTACTTTGTTGTCAAATAATTCTGTATTGATTCATAATGGAAATGGATTTTACTTGGCAAGATATTGTGGTTTTACTGCATAATCAGAAAGCAGGTTTACAGTGAATAATAAACATTTTAAGTGTAAGACAAGGTCATCTGGCTCACTCTGGTTCACCTCCTAATAAAGGGCATGCATCAGCTGTGTTGGAGTAGAAAGTTGTTGCTGTTCATTTTTTAGAGTGGAATACACATGTGAAAAATCCTTCCTCGTTACTCTAATTATATGTCATAGTATTGATAAGAAAAGCAAAAATTTTCCCCAAAGAGTGTTCTGAAAGATTCACAGAGTAAATAGGAACACGAGTGCATAATGAAGGTTACCAAGTCTTTTATGTGATGCTGCTTTGATGAAATAACCTGACTGATATAAGGCTTCATCTAAGAACACCCAAAAGCCTTTCTTAATTCATAAGACCAATGTTAATATGAGTAGAGCAGTGTTTGTGTGCCAGGTTCTGTGTCGAACCAACTCCTTATGCTGCTTCATCTTGTTACAGGGTCACACAAGTACACTAAGTGTAGACCTCAGAGTCAGGTCTAAAACAAATATCAAAAAACTGCTAGAGTGTCTTAAAGTGATTCTTGAATAAATTAATGCAGGATATATTTCAACCTTTCAGGAAAAAGAACTTCAGAAGAGAAAGTCTGAAGTGAAGTTGACATTAGCTCCTCTGAAGGTACTGTGTTTTCCTGAACGCCAGGGCAGGACCTACACAAAGGTTTGCTCTGTGCCTGTGCCTCCTTCTGCAGTTGCCCCTGATTTAGCTGTGTGCTGCTGGGCTTCAGGTTCAGGCAAGGGCTTGCTGACATTATAGTGATGGGTATTCTCCAGACTGTCGAAAGGGGGACCTTGCACGTGGAAAGGGAACATCTCTTTTCAGTTTATCTTTGCACATGTTTTGCTCTGGCAAGGTTCAGAGGCACCTAATGGAGTAGAAACACAACTTTTGGTCAAAACATGAAATTACAGATCAGACACAAAATAAAATCTTGCAGTCTCAACAGAGAGTGAAATCCTAGAATCACGGAATGTGTATGTGTTCGTGCCACACAGGCTAAGCTGGCTTGCCTCACCCGAAAGTGCCAAGAAAGGAACAGCTTCATTATGAGGATGCATGGTGAATTGCACAGGCATGGAATTATTAACTCTGCATTTGATGAAGAGCTGAAAAGCTTGGTGAATGATGTGACCCTGGCAGAGTACACGGTCGCTTTTACACCAGTGTGTGATCAAGAGGTGAGTGCTTGTTCTTCCTTGTAGGATCCTCATGTTTCCAGTATTAAATTAAGATAGTGATTTTCAAAGTGTTTAGTGATATTCAGAGGGTAGTTATAAAATATATTTCATCACTTAATATAAGTATTCCTTCAAGAAAATCAGTGGAGTTGGACACTTTATTGTTGTTTGGTCAGGGTTTAAATTTCAGGAGTTAATAGCAAAATGCATCAGTGCTCCTTGCAAAAAACTCTTCCCTGATATTTTGACAAACTATTTGAGTGGGTAATGCAGCACATATTATTCAATTTCACTTTAAATATGAATTTTACTTTTTTCCTGCACAATGCATCGTTTCATGTTTCTGAAGAAATCAGGAAAAAAAGGTCTGCAATGAATCAGTTTAAGTCAGTGAACATTTGTATTTGAGAGGGAGTTAGTCAGTTGTGTTGCACTGGCAAGAGAAAAGTGGGATATACCCTGTTTCACACCTAGTTCTGTTCAACATTGTCATTAATAGCTTGGATGCTGGGAATATACTTCCTAATCTTGGAGTAGCACCTACTTGAAGACATTCTTAAGGACAGGAAACTGGATCTGGCAACCTGAAGAAACAGGAATACCCTTGCAATATTTCAGTAACCATCAACAAGTTCTTTTTTTTTTTACCTTATGATTTTCTGTCTCTTATTATTTTAAAAAAACCTGCAATAGTACCCAAACAATATTTGGTAATGTTTGTGTCAAGCATACATAAGGCGAATCTTGCTGGTTAGAAGTGGAAGAGAGGGGGAAATACTGTGTTACGCATTTGTATAATATTGGGTGCCTACCACAACAGAACAGAATACAGGTTCATACTATATTTTGTACTTCATCTAACACAGGGCACTGCAAAATAAGCACATAAAAATAATTTATCTTAATGACACTGACATTTTTCATTAGTGAAAGTAAGGATGCTTAAAATGGGCATATGCTATAGTAAATCCACAGGATTATTTTTCTGATTATTTTACATTTTTACACACTGAGTGGTATTCTGTATCATGCTGACAGTGCTTATTCTTACAGTGTTATTAAGTGTTGCAAGCTATCACTCAGTCGTATGAGTTTCTGTGGCAAGAAGTAATATAACTGTATGTTCAGGAAAAAGGTAGATTGGTTCCTGGTTGCAGATGGGACAGGACTCTGTCTCTCGGCGTCTCCTTTGAGTACCCCCAGTTTAGGTCCACTACTGTCTCACCTGAGCTCACTCTGCACAGGAGTGTTTTAGGTGACAGCAGTTAGTAACTAATCTCCCAGAAGGGAGTCAGCACTCCACTGCCTTCAAACATGTTCTCAGTTTTCTCAGACACTGCTGTGATAGATGAGCATTGGCAAAGCTACCCAATACAGTAAATATCAAAATATTGTGCACACTCACACTATCTCTTTGAATGTCTAATTATCACAAAACTTAGCAGGTCCAACAGGAGAAAATTAGATTGAATCTGTATTCTGACAGCCAGTGAGCTCATTTGCAACATAGGGCCCCACATTAAATTCACTTCTTCAATAGATATTTAGCTATTCATACCAAATGGAGCACAATCCCCTTCCCATAGTATCCAGCACTGTAGTGTAAGAGGGAATCAAGCCTGGGTTTTTGATCAGTCAGTGAACAGACTGGCTCTTATTGGACACCTTGACCATTCTGGTCTGTGATAAGTAATTCCACATGTAAGAGGGGAAATCTTTCCTGCCAAGGAAGAGCTGTATGCTCCCATGAAAAATGTATGTTTCTATGGATCAGGTTTCCAATGGAAAATACTTCAATGAGAAAATGTCCAAGTTTCACTACTAATTTAATAATGGTTACAATAAAAAAAAAAATAAAAAAGAGAGACTGTTTCTATTCATGTGATACGTTCCTTTGGTTTAAAAAATCCGGTACCGAATTCTGGAGTCATATGTTAAAATGAACTGACTTTTCATCTTTGAGGCTTCATTTCTTGCTTTCAAGTCTTATTCTCACTGGAATTTACATCTAAGATTCCAGAGCTATGCCTAACTTCCACTTACATAAAATTCCTTTGAAAGCTCATTTCCTTCCTTCCGCTCAGTTTTTCACTTCTACATAATTCCTAACAGTTGAATACTGCTAAAACCTGGTAGAGTGTTACTTGCCATTTTTTTTTCTTTTGCCTTTTTTTTTTCTTTTGCCTTTTTTTTTTTTTTCTTCTTACACTTAAGATTTGCAATCGGCTTTACCCATTTCTGGACCCACTGACACGACTGGCAAATGGAAGGCTGTCACACATTGGCAGCAGACCTCTGTGCTTTGGCTTACTGAATTTCAACTGAAAATTTGCAGTGATGCATGAAGGGCTGATCCAGAGCCCTTTGAAGGGAAAGGGGACTCTGTACTCAGTTCAGTGCCTGGCCTGTACTCTAGTTCAGTAAGAAACTTTGAGTCTTTTTCTCAGAAAAAAATATATATTAAAAGTTGTATTAAAAACTTTTTTTTTTTTTCTTTTTTTGTTTATGCATGGTATTACCTGTAGAGTGGATAGATCTCTCCTAGCTGTGTGCTAGGACACTCCAGCTTCAGTGGAGGACTTATTGGCATCACCAAGTTACTCGTACTTAAAGACGAAAGTGAACTTCAGTTCTTTGCTTATTCAGGACACAACAGATGGTTGGTCATTTCCTTCTGTTTACCAGAAGTATTTTCTTCCTAATGTTCCTCCCAGTTAAAATACTAAACCATGAAGACATTGTTATGCAAAACAGTTCATTTTTGGAGCTTCTTTTCAGACTTCATTTTGAGTGTTTAAGGCTCTGTCCTAAGAAATGATAAATCCCTGTTGTCCCAATGCCCTTATTTTGCTGACTACATCAAGACTTCTAATCAGTGCAGTTTAACAGAGCATCATGCATTTTGAGGTTTGTCATTCTTGATTATTTTCACAGCCCAGTGTCACATTCAAATATGACTGAGAAATAAAATTTGCTTGAATTCGTGTAGTATTTCATTTTGTTCAAGAGGTGTGCTCTTCACTGTGAAAGACAGTTTTCCTTATCTTAATATTCTTCTCAAGTCCCTGTAAAGAGGACTAGATTTTGAATTACTTTTCCTAACCATAAAACTGTACACCATGAAGCTCTTTATTTGTAATTTAGCTTAATTGAACAATTTAGTATAATTTAATTTAATTTTGGTGGGGTTTTATTGTAATAAACGTATGATTGCACAGAAAGGTCTTTATTTAGCTTCTTTTTCATTGACAAAGCTATGTCACTGTAGTGAAAGCAAAAATTCTGTGCGTGATGATGAACAAACACTGCCTCTCAGTTTTGAAAAAAATAGCCTTTTGGGGGGCCATAAGAATGACAATATATGTCTAATATGGACTTGAAATTTTTGGAGGGATGACAAGTTAATTTCTAAACCTCTGTGATGTATTTTTCTTTTAAAGACTTAAACTGAGAAACCAATAGAGCCTCTTGGAGTAGAGCAATAACAAATTTGGGCAAAGGAAATAATTTAAAAACTTCTCTTTTTTGTGTGTGTTTGGAAAATAGAAAGCATGTGGCTGAAGAGGACACATTCCTGGGACAAGGGCTGCCTCCAGTGGGTGCACGAGGAACTGGGCACTGTGCCATAGCTGGGATTCACACACCCAATGTCAGACACAGAATGTGTCCATTTTTGGCCTTTTGTCATGTCCCATTTCAATCATCTCCTTTTAAATGCTGATTTTTTATTCTTTTTTTTAATTGGAAAGACCTTGACCTCATCTCTCTGTTCTTGCTTTTGTAGAATTAATTCATGGACATGATTAACAGTTATTGTTTTTCTGCCTTTCCCAGCGAAAAGAACACAGGACAGCATTCATCAACTGGTCTTAGACATTGATGTTCACAGAATGTCTAACAAAAAGGACTTGGATTTAGTTTACAACAGCTACTTGGGTTGGTAACAGTAGGAAGCAAGAGAAGATGTTCCAGATAACTCATAGGAAGTGTAAAAGAGGAGGCTTTATTTCTTCCTGAGTTTAGGTGTCTACCTGCAGTTTAAGCAGCAGACTTTAACCCAGTCTGACTGGCTTGAACACGAGGCAGTGTCCGTGCTGCTTTTGATGTACTAGAGAACTGTACAGAGGAGCAAGTGAGCTTGGCTTGCCCTTCACGTAGATACAGCCCAGCCAGGACTTTGGGTACTGTTCAGCCAGTACTGTAGTATTTGGGGGCCTTTTCTCTCTCTTTTGGGGTATGTGTGGAGAAATAGGAGTATTCTTAATTCTTTCCCTCAAATGATCAAACCAACAGCCTCTGTCCAGATGGCTGTAATGGAAAATGCTGCTGTACTCATCCACTTCAATTTCTCTTGTGCTGGCTGGAAGGCTTTGACTTGATGATATATTTTATATATTCTTCCCATAATGGATCTGAAACCACTGTGGCTCTTTGCCCTCCTTTCTTGGGGCTGAGAGGCAATTTGTGCAAGCAATATAGGGATAAATGGTAGTGCTTTTAATGCTTTCCATACAGTCATCTTAAACCTTATGGATGGAAAGCTCCAGGCAAAGAATGTGTCCAGTGCAGTGAATTATTTGTTTTATAGAATAGGGAATAAATGTGCTGAACAGCATAGCTTAATTCTTCTTTCTGTCAAGGGGTTTCTTCTGAGATACGTTTTGGTAGCACAATCCTTTTTATTTGTTTATTTGGTTTTATTTCCACTTATTACATTCCAAGAAATCACTTACTGCTTTCCCGAGAATCGTATTTGAAGGAAACAGGCCAGACATAAAATTCTCTGATGCTCTCCTTCAAGTGGTTTGTGTGTGGCTGGTGAGGTCAGAGGCTTTTCTGGCACAAAGGTTTAGATGCACTTCATGTTTGATGTCTGTACTTTGGACAGTCACATCTATGGTAGTTTACTTATTTATTCTCATAGTTAATGCAGAGAAAGAGGTGTTTCCAAGGAAGTTTCCAGGCCATTTTACCTACCTGCTTTCAATAAGTGTGAATGACCGTGGTTGCCCAGAGAGGTTGTGGAGTCTTCCATGCTGGAGATATTTAAGAACTGTCAGGACACGATCCTGTGCAATGTGTTCTGTGGAGGTTGGACCAGATGACCCACTGAGGTCCATTTCAACCTCACCCATACTGTGATTCTGTAATAAGGTGGGAAGAGTAGTAGACGTTGGACTCCATTGGTTGAGAAGAAGGAGATATGCTTTGGTCAGGTGAGTCCCACCCTCAAAGGATTTAACTGAGGGCTTTCAATCTCTTGGGGACAATGATGATCAAGAACCAGGAATCTTTCAAGAGGATTTTTTTTTTTTTTTTAAATTACAGAAAATGTTACTTCAATCATTAGAATTCCAAGTGGGTTAAAGACGGGGTGTTATTTAGTAATTTTTTTAAAGAAGGGTAAAATCCACTGCTGAGACAGGTTTTTTGACCTTCAGAAAAATTATTAAAAATACTCAAGGGCATAAAATACAGATTAAAGTCAGTTAATGGCAGTCTGGCCTTTCCACTGAAATAACTGATAAAGCTGTTCAATAATCAGGTAAATGGCTGCTTGTACAGAGGACATCTCAAGAATTTGTGGTGGCTGAGGAGACGCTTCATACTCAAGATTACTGCCATTTTAAAGTAAAATTTGGTTTGGTTGACAAAGATTTAGATCTGTTTCCTGACTGCATACGTAATACAGCAGGTATTTTTTATTGCAGATAGTTTAGCAGTGGTTTTTACATGGTAATTCATGGGCAACAGCATGCATTTGTCTAGAACAGTAAATGCCAGTAGTAGCAATAGCCATGATTAAAAAAGAAAGGCTTTAAAAAACTAACCTCCCTTTATTTTTTGACAAATGCTAGAATTTAGATTAAGATGAAATTTAAAATGAAAAATACCCAGATGAATTAAAACATTTTATTCTTATCTCTGACATCACTGTCTTTTTTTTTTTTTTTTTTAATGTTAGGGGAAGGTCATGGTTTTTGATTTTAATGGCAATCCTTTCTGGAATTTGGCATTATGCAAGTTTACATTCTTTGGAATTTGGTGGAATATCACAATATTTTCATTTCTTTCTGGGTGAGCCAATTTGTGGAAAATTGAAAGAAAATCAAAAAACATCAAAGGAAAACAGAATCAATATTATAAAAATAATTAAAAATAACAAAAGAAAACAAATCTAAAAAAAGAAGAGGAAATTAATGTCTAGGCATTGAGGCAAAATGCAGGATTTTTGCTTAGCTGCATTCATAGTGCTATAGAAAATATGATCTTTAGTATTTCACAGAGTCTTATGGAACACCAAAGATGAGCCTTTTTGAGAGAATTATACCAACTTTCAAATATAGCACATACCATACTGTGAAAGCTTTATCAGCATAGTAGCATCTTCACTCACCAGGGTTTGCATTAACCCACGTTTCTGCTGAGTTTCACTACTTTAGCTGCTGAAGAATTTGCTAATTCCAAGAGGCAAAAGAATTTGTGGGTAAAACAGTTGAAGGAAAGGAATAACCCTGCAAGCGGGTTGTTTTTCTAGAAATGACATGTTCTGGTGTCACAGCTTTGATTTGGTGCTGTGTTTTTTTCTGGTAGCTTTACCAGCTCTCCTGTCTATGGGAAGGTCACTGATTTGCCTTTGCATGGGTCACTGAGCTAGAACTTGTTCTGTTCCTGCTGGCTCTCATCTATCACCATGGATGCCTCTAACTGTGCTTCCTGTAGTGAGGAAATTCTCATCAAATAATTTTAGATCCAATCTCTTCATGCCTCAAAACATTTCAGGGCTGCCCTTTATGACCCCTCCATTGCTTTCAGCCAGCCAGCACTTTTTGTGAGTGCTGGGGAGAGATACTGCACTCGTAACCTTGGTTAGAAACCAAGGACTCCTGGATCTGCCTTGGGCTTCTGTGTTTTTAGGGGAACATACAAATGTATAGCTTTCACTTTCCACCTGATCTGTGCCTGTGATGCTAGGACATGTTGGGGTATTCGTGCCACCTTACCCAAATAAATGCAGTATCCATACTCCCACAGACTCCCTCTGTAATCAGCATAGAAAAAGTAAGTCTTTTATGAAAGAGCATCAATCTAAATTGTGTGCCCGAAGTTGGCCAATATGAGTGGTCTTTCGATTCCTGTATGTCCCTGTCTTGTTCCCTGGCCTGTTGTTCAGCTTGAAGTAAATGATTCAGGTGGCAGCTGCTCCTGGGCAGTGTCTCAGCTGGCCAAACGTGCTTGTACTGGGTGCATTAAGGAGACCAATGACCACAATTTAACAGCATTGGTTCCCTCCTCTCTTTGTGGGAAGCCAAGAACAGGAGATGAAATGGGATCAAAGGCAGTGTTAGAGTTCATTGCTTGTGTTTACCATCCACCTTTTCCTATGTGGTGTATATATCAAATTCAGAGTGATTTATGTTTTTTTTAATGGACACAAGTGATGGAGCTGTAGCTCATTAAAGATACACAGAGCAAAACTAATATTATTTTAAGTAAAATGTATTTTATATTAAGTAAATCTTCCTGACCTTTGATATTTATAGTATTTTCATTTCTGGAACTTTTTCAAGAGGCAAAAAGGTGATAATGCATAATGAGGTATATTCATTTTAGAAATAAATAAACAAATAAGTCTTCAAAAACCCAAAGGCTGAACCTGTTGTTAGCAATCTTAAATTTGTTTTTATGTGCAATTGCAAGAAAAAAAAAGTAACAGTGATCCTGTAGCTATAATAAATTTGTATTTTGATGATAAAATGTTACTGCCATGTGATAGTCTTTTCTGTTCAGGGAGATCTATTCCTGCTTGCAACTGTCATGAGAAAGTGCATAATTAAACTGCCATTTCCCTCTGAATTTGGCTTCAGCTCAGTGAAGATATTTGAAAAGGATACTTTGCTGTGGTGTTAAAGTTGATTTGGAGGTGAAATAAGATCAAGTACATTAATAATACATTGATGCAGACTATGAGGGTCTGCATAAGAGTTCATGCAGTTGAACTAAGACACTTTTGAAGTTCATTCAGTTTAACTTTCTTGGGCATTCATAGGTAGACAAACCTGAATTAGTTGTGTAGTGTGGACTGAGAGAATATGTGTGTAAAAGAATCATTTTGAAAATTTTGAGATTCTTCAAGAGGAGACCTAACATGAGACAATTTTTAAAATTAGTAATTTTTGTCTACTTTTTTATCTAGTTTTTTTTTTTAATATATCAAGACAAATTTTGGGCTACAGTTAAAACTTCAAGATTTTTTTGTTTGTTTTGAGGATGAACTGACAAATACAGGATTCTTTTTTAAACAGGTGCAGAAATGCTTCACATATAAACTAATTGGCATATTATCTTTTTTTTTCTTATTTTGCTAAATGTAGTTTATTTACAGCTGATTTCTGTGAATATTTCTTTTCATGAATTCATCCAAATGCTTGCACTAAATCCAAGGTAAACAGCCGTGGAAAACTTCACCTAGCTTGAATTTTTTAAAATTGAATTTTCTCTTGCAGATGCTGCCTTTTTCCACAGACATTTCACGGGCTAATGGACAGCCAGTGATTCACAAAACACCTGCCAAAGTGAATGGGATGACTGGGTCAATACCTGCAAACTCTCAGCAAGAGGCAGATAGCACCCACAGTTCACACATCACTTCAAACGCGTATGCTGGTTCTCCTATCAAATTAACAAGCCCGGAGAGGATCATAGGCCTGCATCGAGAACTGAGACAAAACCATTGCAGAACTTACCAGGTCAGTAAAAATGTTCTCTGCAGATGTAAAAATGTTGCTGGTTGTAGTTTGGTGAAATCTATTATTTTTGGCAGAAGATACAGATATATGAATGATTCCTTCCATAGATGCACATTTGATTGTTAGTTTAAACAATTCGACAATAATAAATGTTTAAAGGTTTTTGTTATATATTTTCTTCCCCATTGTTTAGGTTTGGCTTGAGGCTTGTAAAAATAATTAAAGGTTTTGCTTTCGCCATAATATACTTTCTGGTAAAACAACCTTTGTTGGATGTTCAAAAAAAAAAAAAATTGTTATGTTGATCTTGTCCTACCTTTTTTGCAGGCAAAGTTTTTTTGGGGGGGTTGTTTCTTTTTTTTTTTTTAGTGATCCAATTATTCATGTGCCCTGAAGCTCTTTATAGTAATTTCCATTAACCACAGGAATCCTGTTAAAAACAGAGCTGATCAATTGCAATTGCATTTGTGACAGTCTGCTGCTAAACTAACTACGCAAGAGATTTCACCCTCTCTGAGACAACATTACCTCTCCATATTTGTACGGAAAAAAACCCCAAATATGCAATTACTGGAGCCAGTTAGGTAGAGTAGTTAGAAATATTACTCCACTGAATTTTATTTATAATCTTGGATGAAAATAAATGTAATAAAACAAACTCATTGTTTCTGCTTTTGGCATTAATGAAAAAAACATGCAAGGTCCTGAAATGTCCTTTTAGTTAAGAAATTTATTATACCATGAGATAGTGACTCAGAATTCTGCTAATATGTTACTTAGTTCAGGAACAGTTTAAATCGAGTTTCCTTCTCCTGTTCTCTCTCATGGTCACACAGCTATTCTGGAGGGCAGAATGCAAGTAGCTCTTTGATTGACTTGACTTCTGTGAGCTCAAAGATTGTTTTTTTATATAAATCACATGAGTTGTAATTAAATCCCAGTGAGAGCAGGACATGGGCCTCATGGAGAATTACATGAGAAGCTATGGCTGAAATCAGCCACAGTGCATGGAGTGGCCTCTTTCTCCATAACATACAGAAACACACTGTGACATCCAAGGTTATGGTTTCTCTCCTTTCCTCCTCAGATGCCTTCAGCTGTGTCCTCCAACTCAAATCCACAGGCTGATCGCAACTTGCCCATGATCCATAAGGAAGCCCCTTGGCCTCTGCTGCCAAGGATGAGGGATGCACTGGTGCCTCTGGAGCGTGGTGTCTTCTTGGCCACGAAGGGGAGGGATCGGTTGTCGAAACGTGATGATGTATTTTGGGGTCAAATAGGAAATCAGCATGCAGGTGCCACTCCCCAGGGAACGAAACAGGAAAGTGCCATTATGAATAAGGCATGGCCCTCTAGAGAAAAAACAGATGGCTCAACCTCAGCTACCACAGCAAAAAGCTATTTGTCAGACGTGTTGTCAGCAAGTAATAAAGGTCGAAATCCTGTGGGGAGAAATCAGCTGCACGGGAAAGAATAAAACCTGCAGAAATAAAACAAGGTAAAGCATCTGAGCAATGTGATTTTTCCCATTGCTACAAAAGTACTAATAATTTTTAAAACAAAGATACTACTTAGCATGGCCTAACAACTAGTTAGAGATGACTAAAAAACTTACATGGAAAAGAGCTGTAATATTTTTTATGATCAAGATTTTTTAGAGCATTTGAGATCATTGAAGCCTATGTATTTTTAATCAGCTGGGCATCCTCCCCATTTTCTTTTGCTTTTCTTTTAACTGAGACTGTGAACCAATCTATTAAATCACTTTTACTTATATGTATGACCCATTTCTTCAGTGTGCAGTGGCAGGTTCTGAGAGAACATCTGCCTTGTGTGACTTTCTTCTGGAACTTCAGGAAATGTAGCGTCATGGACTTTCTATAAACTAATTTTACAGAAATCGGAGGGTCATTTTGCTGTATTTCTTCAGTCTTGGGATACTTTTAAAAATTGTGTCCTCTTTTTTTTTAACCAACTGAACTACAGCAGGATACCCAACGTATTACTGTAGGTGGTAGTATCTATAAAATAGTGTTCTTCGATTGTTACTTTTAAGTAACTGCAATTTGAACTGCTTAACTCGAGCAGTTTTACTGGACAAGTCTACAACCACTTTCTTTAGGGGACTGCGTGGTCATCACGGGTGCAGTAACATCTGAGTTTGAGGGATGGATGATTCAGACCTGTGCTGCCAGACCCCTACACGTGCCACAGGGAAAGTGGATGGGGTGCCAGGCCACCTGCACTGGCACAGCCGGGACAACACTTCCTCGAAGCCTGGCTCAGAAGCAGTTGGGGCATGGGGTGCATGAACCTTTGATGGATCCTGGCTAGGGAAAGGAGGAGGGAATAGTGTGTTTGTGCAGGTACATGTGTGCACTAATGCTGGTTCACTCCAGGAAGTTTAACTCAGCATGGTTGTTAATTCCTCAAAATACTTATTTGTATTGTGATCCCACCAGATTTAATTCTTTTGGAAAACCTCCATTATTCATATCTCCCAGTTTTCTTTATTTTTCATCACTTATATTAGAAAAGGGCATTAACACACAGTAATATATGGCACAGTTCCTGTGCTTTTCCTCTGCATTCATTGATTACCCCAGTTGGTTCACATTATGTTACTACTTTGTTTGATGCTGCTTTTTGGAAGCCAAAAATAAAATGACTGGTTTTGATGAAATATTAATGTACACACTCACACTTTATTGTGGAAACCCGCCTTCGATTGCTCAGTTAGGTAGTGGTGCAGTTGCTTACAGCACTAACTGAATTGCTCTTCATCCAACATACCTTTGGAACACATACATGACACGTTAAGGGAAATAGTCTCTGGAAGCGATGTTTATGAGTGCTATCTAAGCAGAGGAGACACCAGTGATATTCCAAAATGGGGGCTTTTTCTTTCATGTATCTTTCTTTTCTTCCTAATTCCAGGTCAAAACTTCTAAAGACAGATATACTTGCTATCCAGCCATCTTCTGCCTTGTCAAATGTAAAGATATTCTGATGTGCAAAACCACCTGTAAATATTGAATGTGGTGACTTTTATGTTGTTAAAATGGTGCTATAAGAATTAGCCCTTGTGAGAGCTTTTTGGAGCTTTATCTTGCTGACAGTAAATATCGGGCCTGGTAGTTCATTCTGAGGTCATAATACATGAAGTGTGCTAATAATAAGGACAATAATAATAATACCCTATGATATTATGATAATAAGCCTTTGTTATCCTGGTGTAGCTATCTACTTTGTGTTATAGTAACTATCCATGAAATTAAGCCTTTGTCAGCCTAGCCCCTTTCTATCAAAGATAAGTGTGATTTATTTTAAAGTGTAACACTTCATTTTAAGCTAATTAGGTTATTTGGCCCCATCCTTCCTCCTGCTGGAATTAATAATTTCCTGAACAAGGGCCGCAGACACACAGAGATGTAGATGGAGGAACAGACAATTGCAAGGATATTACCTGCACTGAAGCACTACAACGCAAAATGGACTCAGGCAATTCATCCAGCAAATGGATTCTGTGCTGGCACTTCATAGCCCTGCTGCACAAGTCACAGATTTTCTGTAGCCCCTTGTGTTTTTAATTTTTTAGGACATCCTACTTCATTTCTTGCTGCTGCAAAGCGTTGTTTAAAGATGTGCAGATACCACAGTTATCATTAGGCCAGCTGTTTCAGCTGCTCTTCATTTCTTTTAAGTAAAAATGTGATAGTTAAGACACTACAGTGGAGGAATGCTAATAAATTAGCAGCAATCAGTTTGGAGCACTGCGTGCAACACTGTTGGAAAACGTGGGCCAGCTAAAGGTTTTCTCTTTTGAACCTACTCCATTTTTCCCACTACTGAACGGGCAAATGAGAAGTGATAGTCATCTTATGCCAAATAATTATGCACTAATTGATCTACAAGAAGATTAGATGATGCATTGCACCATCAAGCAAGGCTCTTCAAATTCTTTAAACATGGTCATTTATAGAAACTTGACCCAAAATGTACAGTGGGGGACCAGATGGTTCCTATATTGGTGTCCTGCTAGGTTGAGGTCCTTTGGGAGTCTGAGTTTGCTGAGTGACTCATTAGAATAATTGATTTTGCCCTTTATTCTGTAAATTATTTGTTTTGTTGGGAGTTTTTGTTTTTGTTTTTTTAATTAAGGGTTATCAGTAGCAATGTTCTTACCGAGTGCATCTGAACAGTTGACTGGTCTTGAATCACCTGTGATCTGCTGTTTGTCGTCCATGGACCTGCATGAGTCAAATGGCATTATCTGTACTTGACTGGATGATGAGGATACTCAGAAGGAAGCTCAGTGACAGCATGCTTCCTACTGACAGATGCTCACTGAGTGTGCTTCTCATTCAGACAGACTCTTCCACTTCCAAAGAAATTGTTTGAAACAGCACAGAAAACTATTTTCTAGGATCAATAGTTAGCAGCAAATGAGTGCTTATTAACATATTCAGACAATGTTTGCCCATCTCTTTTTTTCTAGGCTTGAACTCCCTAATACTGTAATCAAATTATCATCTTTTTTTTTAGCAGGGAAATTATCTCATTTCTTTCTAGTTTTAACAGAAGTATTACTTAACAATAGAATTACGTGGAGGCAGTAACCTGAAATGGTGCCTAGTGCACTTTCTTCCAACGTTGAATAAGCAGTTTTCTGTAATCAAAGAAAACTAATAGTTCTCCTGCAGTTGTGCCTTATCTGTTCTGCTCTTTATTGGTAGGAGAATGTAATGCAGTTTTTAAGTTCATATGCAAAGAAACAGAACACCCACAGTGACAGATCATGCATATTTTAAAAGAGTTCTCTTTAGTCAATGGAATTCTTGTATTAGACTACTCCTTCTACTCCTCTTATTTTTCAGGAAAATAGCATTCATAATATTTTTTAAAAATAGTTAGCTACCCTTTATTTTGCCTACACTCACCTGTGCATTCAGTCTCACTTAACTAGAAAGAATTCATTATGGAAGGCCAAAAGGTGAAGTCACATTTTAGGAATGTCAGACATGCTTTGATCAGAATCAGTGGAAGGAACAAGGTCAGCATCCCTCTTTGAGAACTGATCTGCTGGAGAAGGCCTGGAAGGCACTGGAAAGATGACAAAACTCATTGTCTTTCAAATAAATGATGCCAGTGTCAACTCTAGGTTCTGCTGGATATTAAACATTTACAGAAGGTGAAGAAGGGTTGCTCCTGAAGCCTTCCACTCTCTATCTATTACTTGTCTTTTGCTATGAAAAGCTTTTATGTATATAGGAAATTTGGGGGTCAGATCTTATGCTCAGTCTTTAATCACTCAGTTGCATGCTCTGGGCTGGTATTTGTATGAGTCAGAACAAAAACAAGTTGCCCATGATTAAATCTTCTCTAGTCCCTAATAATCTCTGTTTATATTTTTTGAGTAGTAATTCTGATTTGTAAAGTACTATCTAATACCTTCTTAGCAACAGCCTTTTCATTGAGCCCTTAAGCTGATGGATATTAAAGCCCCTAATTAAAACCTGATAATGTATGAAAGATTTCTATGGTGCAGGCCTTTCTCTTAAGGACCGATTAAACCAAGAAACTCATACATCTGTTTGCACAGCTATATTCTCATCAAGTCAGGCACCTTGCAGTGTTGACTTAGGTCCACCCTTCTCACAGTAGCTTTTTCTTGGAAATGAAGAGAACAAGAAAGGCCAGGACAGAAAATGGAGTATTTCAGAAACATTGGCCTATTACATTTAGCTAGGAACGTAATCTTTCCCCATTCTGTGGCTCTGATGCTATCAGTCAGAATAATGGTGAACCATAGAATAATATGTTCATTTACATATAAATATGTATAAAATACTTCTGTGCATATATAAGCTCTCTCTCTATATATTTGCATGCAGTTTGGCATGAATAAATATAGTATAAAAAAATAGGGATACGTGATTTTTTGCAGGTCTTTCTCTCTTTTTTTCCTTTTTTTTTTTTTTTTTTCCTTTCTCTCTTGGGCTTTGCAAATAGAAGTAGAAATATGAGAAGAGACTGGTTTTTTTAAATTTAAACCTCAAATTAAGAGCAAACTCAGACTATACAGTGAAAATTGTGGTTGTACCTTGACTACACTGCAGGTTAAAATCCAGGTTTGTATCAATCTTCCCTTTCCCAAATACCCTAGATTCCACTGGTGTATTTGCATGCCCCACTTGGCAGTCTAAGCGTAGATGGCAGTGAGACCAGGCCACTGGGAGATCCTTGCTCTATAGCAGTGTAAATCCCTGTTGTTTCCTGCTGCTGAAAGAGGGGAAGAAAAAAAATCAGTGGTTGCATAAAATATTGTTAGTACAGCTTGCCTTTATGTGCATAAACCACTGAACCTTTACTGGGTGGGAGTTAGGCACCACTAGAGAAAGTGTCAAGCTCCCACAGTGGAAGCCAGACTGACTTGCACCCTTGTTAAAGATCTCATGAACTGCAGCCACTGTTATGTTTCATATAATGTAAACTGTC